AGAAGAAGCATATGACTTGAATATGATACGATCTACTTTATTTATCACCCGTTCGTTTTAAGATGCTCATGTTGTGTTAAGATGTAAATATATACAACATCACCTATGATGGCATTTATAGGATCTCCTCTCCATCTATATAAGGATGCAAGTTTCTTAGTTTTGAGTCAGAGTAGGCAAAGAGAGGGAAAAAAAAAAAGAGAAGAATTAATAGTGTTGCAGCCAGCACAAGATGAATTGCCAGGAAAAAAAAGTGCCCTCCAATGAATTCATCAACAATGCTGGCCCTGGGGCTGGAGGTCGCAATACCGGCAAAGGAGCCGGATGTATCAACCGCAATAAGAAGGGCGGAAAAATCGGCCGAGCCCCCGTCGAGGTGAAACTGAGTGCGACAAACCCACCGGTTAAGACAACTCTCAACAGCGGTCCCGGTGCCGGGGGTGACAATGGAGGCGAGGCCGCTGGATGTATCAACGACAATGAAGGAGAAATCAATCTCTAATTAATCCTAGCAACATAATTATCATAAGCTAGTACATGACTCTCTTGAGGCCTAGAGATAATAAATAAATAATTGCTTCAGCGCTGCTTCCATGGATGATATGCGAGCAGCTTACGTACACCCCAGGCCAAATGAGTATGTTTTGTGAAAAAAATATATGTTTGTAATGTATTTTATGAGTGATAATATATGGTACTTGTTTAGCATAACTTGTATGGTTAATAGTTCACCTTATTGTTTATAATTTTTGTTTTTGGTTGGCAAAATAAATTTTATTATTATGAAGTACAAGGATTTTCACCTATAAAGATAGCTTATAGTGAAAAAGAGGAAGTATTCAATTTGGTTTTTACTTTAATTTAGCTATCAAATTAGGAAATTGATATAGACACATTTCGGTTTAATACAATTTGTAACACATTTGTTTAAAAATTATTATTTTTAAATTTGAATAAAGGTCAATAAACTTAAAATTACAGATTTTAATGACTAAATTAATAAATGTTAACAGGTGTATTAAATTGAATGGTATACTAATTATTTTTCATCAAATTAATATGATTTTTTTTGTCTTGTTTTGATTGTAAGTTATACAATAAAAGATAAAAACTCTTTTTTATCCTATAACGTACACACTTATATGTCATATAATTTAAATCGAAAACCTTTGCTTTTACAACAGGTCTTGAAAAAATTTATAGTAGAGGACAAAAATTTTTGAGGGGCCAATAAACTTAAAGAAATTTTTATAGGGTCAAGTGAATAAAATGCCCATCAAACTTAAAGATTTTGAAAAATTTTAGGGGGGCATGGCCTCTACTTGACCCCTCATTATATATCCTCTATCCTTGTTTTTATAAAAAAAAATATATCATTAAATTATTTAATTTGTTACACAATATTATAATATTTAGTGTCTCTTATAATTTTTTTTCTTAAAATAGCATGTAGTTAAGTAGAAATTTCTTTTGTACTTGGGTCTTTGGGTCCAATAGCGTCAGGCCGCGTATAAGTGCATTCTCTTACCCAGGACAACGGTTCGAATCTGATCCCTTGCGAATTTATTCAAAAAAAAATAAAGTAGAAACTTCTTTTATATGAAGATATTTTTAAAACGTAAAGACTAGTAATTAAAGTTTGAAAGATAATTTTACGATGCTCCAATCTTTAAAGGCAAAGGTAACCCACTTGCTCCTCCGTGTAATTGTGACATGTAAATAAGATAAACTAGATATAAAAATGCATTCCCCTGTTGTGGTCCATTAATGGCCACTGCAGCCTAACAGAGCTGTCAGTGGATTGCACCCCTGAGAGTTTTGTATCTCTCTTACAATCACGTTTCCAGAGAAATTCCGAACGATGCCTTTTCCGCTGTGAAAGCTTTGCAAAGGGTTTATCTGCAACGAAATTAGTTCACTGGTAAGATTCTGAAATCGCTAGC